TACTGCAAAGAGGATGTACTGATTCTTATCTGTGAAAGGTGATACAGGCTGTCTGGACTGCTAAATTAGCCTGTAATCTAATCTAATCAATGAAAGATACATCAAGTGTTCCCACTCAAGCTTCCCCATCAGCCACAGGCAGCTGAAACAAAACTGAGATTCTCAGGGACTGCTTAGACCTGGTATTCTTGAGCATAAGATTACCTGCTCCTTTCCCTTTCAATTTCAAGCTGATGTGTGCCAAAGGCAGCTACACAGGCTATGAAATGTGGTATAGCCTTTAAGTACAAAGCATTTTCCTAACTGCATATTTGCTGGCACTGAAGAAAAGGTAAATTGTTTTCTCCGTATACTTACTGTGAGTGTAAAGAATAACTGCATACAATTTGCAATCACTGAGATTTACAGCCGTGAATGTAGTAAGTAGTTATGCCACACAGGCACTTATTAAGTGCTCTGTGTCTCATTTTCCCCCCTATATTTGCAAGAGGCACACTTTCTTGGATAAATATTGTATTTTGTTAACCCCCACAAATCTCCTGTTGTCTCTGCTTTACTGAAAGAAACATGAAAACATAGATAAGACAGAAAAATACAGCCAACAAGTAGCCTATTTTACACTATTTCAACATGCAATCCACATAGGCAGAATTGCTTTGCTTCACTCAAAGAAAATATAAAAAGGGTAGGAAGCAGGAGAATCCTTGCAGTCCTTACAGAAGTATTGTTTGGAAAATAATACATGTTACTATGGTACAGACTGCACCATGATTATTCTTACATTGCTTTAAAGCTGTGGATTACTCCCAAGAAGGCTACAGAAGATGACTATGTCTACTGCCTATATGCTAAAGTTCACTGTGTTGGGGGATGCCTCTCAGTGGGAGATGTCTGCAATCCCAGAGAGGCTGCAAAAGCCGATTTTCAAGGGAGCTGTGACCCACACCTTGCAATTGTGTTAGCTTACCAGGGAATCACCCCAAATCAATGAAAAACTCTATCAACACTAAGATGCTCCTTTTCCCTCTACAGACCTTCCATCACCATCATCAGAAGAAGCTTGTTCACACACATCTAACAAGTTAGGAACAGATGCAATTGAAAAAATACATCCTGCAGCCAGGTAGCAAAAAACACACTGATGTGGGTTTGTTTCTCCACATCCAAAGGCAGCATCATGCAGAGAGGTCCTGCCTGACATTAGCACAGGCTACTTCAATTTTTCAGTTTTTCACTGAACACATAGAGATTACAAGTAAAGCACAACCAGCTCGGTTACAGAGCATGCCAAGGGGCTACTTTCATCTAGTATGCTTTGATAAAAACAAACACCTTTTGTGTCTTGAGAGGCACTTGAATGTAATGTGCTTCACACAGCACAAAGGGGCTGCTTGATTTTCCAAAGTGGTTATTTAACAAGACCCAATTTGGCAGAACCTCAGGGAAATTATATGTACAAACAATAGCTGTCATGATAATTTTAGCTGCCTTCCATGCCTGCAAATATGCACTGTACAAGGAGGCTGTCCCATCTCTCCTGTAAGGAAATTCTTTGCACTCCTGAACACTGGTGAGAAGCTCCATCCTGACATACTGAACACCTGAGGAGTCATCCCAAGCTGACAAACCCAACAGTAGCACTTCCTCTGCCCCTGCTCACTGGCAGCTTTGCTCCCCTGCACCTATGCCTAAGCTGTGACAGAAAGCCCACAGGAAATTAAATCGTGCAGGCAGAAGAGGTCCATCCTGCAGATGAGGAAAGAAAAGGATTTTTTAGGGCTCAAGTCCTTCCTCACCATCACCATCCCTTCCTCTTGAACCTTCTGCTTTACAGCTCCTCCTGTGACAGTGTCGCCTATTGCCTTATATCCCTTCCATTTATCAAATCCTACCTGATTCAAGGCACCCTGGCCAACCCCACAGATCAGACTTGTAAGAAGGAACTGATTTCTACTTTAGCTTAGTAGCAGAACTACAGAGTCCTACAGAAGTGAGGTCTGCAACAGACTGACAGCCTTTATGAAAATGAGAGGACAGAACAAGCCAGTACAGATATTAAATTCATTAGAGGAGGACCTCTCTCACAGGTCTTACAGCTGTGGCCCCGCACACCAGCACAGCAACTGCAGCCATGCCACCCCTGACCCTCCAGTAAGTAATCTCTACTTGGACCAGCTCAGAGACAGCAACTGATGCTGCAAAAATGGAAAGCTCCAAAATAAAACATTGCCCCATCCCTTCCCCACTTTGCAGACCTTCCTCACCCCATCACCAGCCCCAGTGCCAGCCCTGCAGCCCACACAGAGTTTAGAGGGCTTCGCAGGGATTTTCTGTTCCCTTCCTCCCTGCACAGGAATGCAGGAGAGACTACAGTGTAGTGCTGAGCTGGTAAATGGCTCATTTCACTGAGCAAGCAATTTTAGGAAGGACACTATATACCAGACAGGCTCTAGCACTCTGGAGCGTGTTGGGTGTATTGAACCATACTGATCACATCTTCACTGCCGGTAACCTCTAGGAAATACTCAACCATAAAACCCTTTCCAGGAATGCACAATGCACTGGGCAATACCCAGAGCCCTGCTACATTGCGAAGTGTGACCCTCATGCTTCTCACACTGCCATACCCCCACAGATTCAGCTTTCTGGGTCTGGAAGTCACCAGCAAGTCTCAGAATCTCCCTGAAACTGTAAACGTTACTTTCTAACCCTGGAAACACATGCTGGCATTGCTCTGTTAATTGAAGAAAGATACCAGAGAGGATCTGTGCAGGGGTCTCGGCCTGCCCCAGCACAGACTGCTTTGTGCAATAACTCCCTAAGAAGTCAGGAAACGGCAAATTCCTATTGTCTGGAAGGAAAAGAAAATCAAGGCTCTCCCTCCTATATATTAAAGAGAAAAAAAAAACCCAACCTATTGGATTTTCCTTCCTTTAGTAATAAATTGACCATTTTAGGCTGTGCTACTGAAGAAAGAGCTTCAAAGTGGGAAATGGAATCGCAGAGAACTGTTTTAAACTGCCTGTTTACACAGGCCATTCCCATGGAGAGGTTCCCTCCAAAGGGAGCAGAGCCTCCTGGGGCAGCGCTGCAGTCAGCTCTAGTCTTGGTTACTCTGCTGAAATAGCAAGAGAAAGGCAGGACAAAACACGGAGTTCAGCATCAGAGTATTTTAACTCTACACAAGGATGATCAGTGAAACATGCTCTCAATTTACAGATTACAAATTCAATCACAGGAACAACCGCTGAGGCACATCAGCCTTCACGGAGCAAAGAAATGCAAGAAAACAGCTGTGACAATGAGGGGAACGAAGAGAAGGAGGGTGCCAAGAATCCACACTGAAACAGCTTCATCTTCACTCCTACCACAAAGAAAACTGAAGGCTTTTTCAGGCTTGTACAAGCAGCAGAGCATTCAGGTGATGCTACTGCAGGCACCACAGAGGGAGGGAGACTGTTGCAAGCACTATATACATTACTCATGAGATCACAAAGGTCAGATGTTGCTTGGCCTGCACCCCAGGGAGCCCTAAAGCTGTGCAAACGAGCCAGTGACAGAATTCAGATCAACAGCCACAGTTCAAGCCTCAAAGAGAAGTTCACATTAAGACTTCACAGGTATCTCTATAAGCAATTCAGCTGCAGTGAGGGAGGATGAGACGCACGTTGCTCCCAGAGGGGAGATGTAATTGCCCATGGCTTCCAGAATCCCCACAGGACACCACTCTTTCAGAGTTTTCCCTACCACGTGGACACCACCAAACAGCTCCTGAGCACACACTGCTGCAGCTCACATCTTCCCACCCCTTCAAACTTTTCCCATAACTTTATGCCCTAGTTGGTTGCTCAGGGCTGATCCTCAGCCGCATCTCCTAAGCGGCAGCAGCACCTCCTCTGCTCTTTGGAATAAGCACCAAAAAGACACAAGGGAAAACATGCTCGGTACCGAACAGGCCACAGGCACAGCGAGGGGGAGGAAGACGATGGCCCGGGGAAAGCAGCGCAGCAGCATGCCTCAAATGCCACTGACCTCCGGTTAAATGAACTAGTGGGCAAATATGTAATCACTTTATCGACCACGCGCCAAGGGCGTTGCTGAAGCTGTTCATTCTCTCAGGTGGAGCACGTAAATTAGTGCTTGTGAGGAGACAAAGATTAACACCTGCGAATGCCTCTTGCTGCGCTGCGGAATCCGGCTCTGCTTCTACTCGCTCCCTCCTCAACATCCGTCCCGTTCTGGAGGGACACCCTCCTCCCTCACCACCGTTTGCTCTCTACTCCAGGCTCAGTTTCTAAGGCTACTTCTTACAGAAGTGTTTCAGTTACCGTTGAGAACGGAAGTGAAAGCCATTGCTTTGCAGGGATGGTTAATGTACCAGTGAAGTGCTGCCAGCTTCAGCCAGAGCTCTTTGCCCCCATCGTCCCCATCGGGGGTGGGATTGTGGAAAGGGGAAGAAGGAACTGGAGGGAGGGAAGGCAGTGTCGGGCGTTTCCAGATGGCCAGGGAAAAGTCCCCAAGCCTCCCCCTTACAACCCGGAGGGGGTTCCTTTACTCCTTTAACCCTTCCTCTCCCGGTACCCAGCTCCCCCCGCCTTTCTTGGGCTGAAGAGCTGCGAAAACACACAGGCGGCAGCCCCTGAAGACCCTTCAGCCCAGAAGGGGTCCGCGAAGCTCCTGCGGGAGCCCTCAACCCGGGAGCCGACCAGGGGGCTGCGGGGCTCCGCGGCTGGTGTGAAGATAGAAACTTAACACCCAGCTTTCCGGCAGCCCGACCGGCACTTCCCGAGGGGCCACGGCCTCTGCTCACGTCGGGGGTCCCAGCGCGGCTCGGCGCAGCGGGATATGAACCCTCTCTGCTGGAAAGGCGCCCAGGGAGCGCTACAAGAGGAGCGGAGACACCGCTTCACCCCCCCCTTACGCTCGGCTCCACCGCCCCTCGGGCAGCCGAGCTGACATGCCCCATAGCTTCCCATCCCGGGCTGTCCCCTGTTCCCTACCTTCCAGCAGCACCTCCTTGCCGGCCCGCTTGAGCGCCTGCACCGCCTCGTCGTGGGTGGCGTCCCGCAGGTCGGTGCCGTTGACGGCCAGGATGGCATCACCTACATAGAGCGCCTGGGTCTGGTCGGCCGCCAGCCCCTTGAAGATCTTGCTGATGAGGATGGGCATCTTATTCTCCTTGCCCCCTTTGATGCTGATGCCCAGCCCACCCAGCTCCTGCTTCAGCACCTTCACACACCGCTTCTTGTTGGAGACGGCCTCGGGCACCTGCTCGGGGGGGTCGGTGAAGGCGGTGCGCACCGCCGCCGCCCCGCCGCCGCCCTCGGCCCCGCGGCACGCCGCCCCATCGCCTCCCAGGCCGTTGTGTGCCGCGCCGTCGGGGCGCTCCTCGCCGCTCAGCACCAGCGCCTCTCCGCACAAGTTGGCCAGCACTTTGTGCCAGCGGTCCCGCACCAAAACTTCCAGCCAGCCGCTGCGCTGCGCCCGGCCGCCGCCCGCCGCCGCTACCGCCATCTTAGGAGCATGCTTGAAGCGCCGAGTGACAGCACCCCCGGCACGGCACGGCGGCACCGGACTTCAGCCGGGGGGCGGCGAGCTCCCGGCTCGGCGGGGTGGGGCGAGGAGCCGCGGCCGCCCCTCCGGGGCCGCGCCGGGGCGGGCGTACCTGGAGGCACCGCCCGCTGCTGCCGCGCCTGGTGCGGGTGTGTGTGGGGTGCGTGAGTGTGCCCGTGCTTGGGTGCGGGTCTGCGCGCGTCCGCGGGTGTCCCCTCTCCCACGGACACCTCCTGGGGACACGTCCTGGCGGAGTCGCCGCTCCCTCCGAGCCGGGGCTGTGATGGCATTTCACGCTTCATCGGGGAGGTGAAGGAGATGGGCGGCAGAGTAAACGAAAGCTCAGACTTCGATTTTCCCGTTAGTTTCTTATAAAGTGGATTCAAACTAATAGTTGGCACAAAGGTCGCTAGATTTCTTCTGAGTGAAAGTAGAATCCAAGTTGTTTCCCAGCTTTGGAGGGTGGAGGTGGTGAGTGATTGCCAGGGATAGTTCTGCACATTTTGAAACTGGTTTCTTTGCCCTTTCATTACAAAATTTTCAGCTTTTTCCATGCTCACTTTCTTTTAGGAAGCAATTCAGTGCCTGATGAGGGGCTCAAGGCTCCAACTCAGGCACCAGAGAAGACAAAGGGCTCACACTGTTGGTTTTGAAGGCAATGTGGCTCTGTGGACACCAAGCACCTCCTGGCTTGCCTTTGTTCTTCTCTTTAAAGAGCAGCCCTGGCTCCTTCCCAAGCCAGGCTGAAAACTCCAGTGTTTCTGGACCGTTTGGTGTATGTATGTAGGAGTAACAGCTTGGGGAGGATGGGGCGGCCACTGAAGTTACAGACCCATTCGTCTTGGCCACATGAGTCATGCAGGTCCCACCTGAAAGGATGCCATTAGTTTCTGACACCAGGTTTTACTCCCAGGTACACACAAGTGCCTCAGGTTAATGTCGGCTGGGCAACTTGGGACTCAGCTCCTAAGTGTTGATGGGACCCACATACAGTGGCATTGTCACTGGACAAACTTTCCTTGGTTTAGTGGGCTCTCTGAGACCATGGCCTTTCCTGGGCTACACAGAACACATGCCCTTCCCTCCGAAAGACAACACTCGGATGCCTCACCCCCCCTTTGTCTGCAGCCTCACCCAGGCTCCTCCCCAGCAGGAATGCACTCCCTGCACCTAGGGAGAGCGGGAACCCCCAGGAGATGGGTTATTCAAGGATAACGGGTGGGTTGGGTGTTTATTAATGCAAGGTGAAAAGCTGTAATTAAGTTTTCAGGACTGTGAATCTGGAGTGAAAAGAAGCATGTCCCGCTAAACCTGAACAAGGCACCTAAGCCCTAGACAGGAGGAGGCTTTAACACACCCTTTTCTCCAGCATTTCTCACTAGCTAATTTTGGTAGCTCATGTACAACACCCTGAATGTTTGGATTGGTGGTTTTTATTAAATCCCAATCCCCAGTGCCAGGCATAGTGAATGAGTGTGCTTGTTCGGTTGCAGCGGCTTCAGGTAGTGAGAGCAGGATGGGGAGGAAAGAGCAAGCATGCAAAATGCCAGCTGTTGGAGCACTCACGTTCCTGTGTATCTCCCAGCCCAAGTGACCAGGCTGAGTTATAAAACCAAGCATCTTTCTTTCCTAAGGGATCAGCTCTTACCAATTATTTCATTATTTTTTTTCTTCATGAATTAGTAAAGAATCAGTGCTGCTGCTGCTGATGGAAATGTGTCTTTCAGTACTTTGAAAAACTCATTTCAGAGAATTTACAAGTAAAAAATATTCAGATAGTTTCTGTCCTGTTGTGAAAAGTAATAGAGAAAGGAAAGGAAATGTTTAACGCCTCACACTTCTCCTTGAGCACTCTGTGAGCTCGACTATGTTTGCTGAGTGTGTCTGGTTCTCCGGTGGAGTTCCCATGGAGCTGCCTTGTGTAGACAGTTGTGCCGCACATATCAGAGAGCTGTGCATGTTCCAACTATTTTCCTTTCCCATTCCAGCAGTGGTAAATAATAAAGTTTCCCAGGGTCAACATCTGACAGATTGGTCCCTGACATAAATAAAATCTTTATAGCTGTCTTCATTGCCTCCTCCTCCCCACCTTGGAGCTGTAGGAAAACAGAGGTGATGTTTTAATCTTGAAAATAAAAGTAAAAAGAAGGTAGTCTGAAAGATGCTAGGGCACAGACCCAAGGCAAACAGTCTCCCAGATCATCTCCCTGCCTGGAAACAGTGTGGTACCTGATATCTGTACTTCCCTGTCCTAGGCGTGCGGGCTCCTAGGTAATTGTGTTTGTGTACCCTGAGTCTTTGGGTACCCCAGGAGCAACTACTGGTGAACAGCTACAAAGGTGAGAAACAAATGGTGCCTTGAGACTTCTCTGCTGGTAGCCCTGCCAACTTTCCCACCCTCAGCCCTGCCTCAGGTCTGCTAATCACACCTGCAGGGGCAGCTTCTGAAACACAGATTCATGCAGCAGGATGGGAACAGAAGGTAAAACCAGGTGTTCATAATCAGGCATGCAGCTATTGAACGCTGAGGTTTGCAACAGAGAGTACTGTTACTCCAAAGTCAGTAGTGGTCCCTAGTGGTTTCCAGTGTATGGCAGAGTGCAAACTCTTAATTTCAGCTACAAGCTTCTCCTCACAATGATGTTTCTGACAGAAATGGTAAATACACACACTGAAATCGCAGTGTTTGGTGTGACTATTTGAGAGGAAGCCAGGATGCGCGGTGGGATGGGCAGAACACGTGGTACTTCCAAGCTGCCGTCTCTAGTCACTGCAAAGGGTTCCAGCACAGACAAAGCTTAGCAAAAATCTCTCTCCATCACTTGGCTTAGCAAAAATCTCTCTCCATCACTTGCCCTTTTGAAAGGGACAGCTGTGAAAAGAGTACTTTTTCAAACAAGTCAAATAATCACCTTTTACCATTTGTATTTTAGCAGCATGTAAAAACCTGAACTAGATTAGGGCCCCTTTCACTGGTGCTGTATAAACAAGTTCTTAGGCAAGATAATGCCAGTAGCTGCTGTTGAATAGGTATTTGATCTGCTGGGGACTGTGGTCTCAGCTACAGTCAAGAGGCTAAATGGAAGAAGGAATTCATTGAAGCGGAAGAACTGAGGGGGGTGGAAAGCACACAGACTGCCTCTCAGGACAAGGATCACCAAAGCACAACCAGGTCAGAAGTGCAGCAGTGATGTCTAAAGAACTGCCTGGGTGCCCAAGCAAGATGAAGGGGCCTGTTTGTGCATGCACACAGGGAAAGCATCACAAAAAGGGTTCTGAGGGTGATGCTGAGGAGGTTCTTCAGGCTCAGCCTCACTGGAGGGGCTACTGGAGACAGAGTCTGGACGCTGCCTGTTCTTAGGATATTTTCCCCTCTTTTCAGGCAAAGAGGTCAGCTTTCACGTCTTATGCAAATAAACTGGCCTTCTGACAGCAAAACCATTGCAAGGCTACATATGCAAGCTTCCCATTCAGACAGCAGTGCAGACAACACAGCTCCTACCCCACTTCAGGCAGAGAAGGTAAGGACACAAGACAGCTTTTTTATAGCTATGGCTCCTTTACAATTGTCTGTGCTATTCTGTAGCAGAGATGAAATTTTTGAAGGACCTTTGGGAGATGCTTGAACCCTTCTAGTGCTGCTTTTTTCTTCCTTTTTGCGTTATCAGTGTGCCAGCAATAGCTCAAAGCCAGCTCATCTAAAATTCCTTTAAATTGGAAACAGGGTTGTGGTCTTTGAGCATGCCTCAGATGACAGAGGTTAGACAAAATCAAGTCTGGATAATGATGTTCCCATCTTGTTACCCTGACACCGACCAGCTCAGCAGATGGATCTAGACAGGAAGGAAGTCCAGTGCTGAAAACCCGACAAGTAATGAAAGAGCTGGAAGGGAGTCCAGTTCCTCCAGTGATCCCAAACACTGCAGCAGCCAAGTTTAAGCAAGTCTTCCTGAGGAACATGCCTGAGCTAATCCTACTTGTTCCCCTGTGGGAGCCCCTCCCATGTGCATGTGTGCTGGGATGCAGTGGGTCAGGCTCCAGTGTTGATGCATGGTGGTGGGACCTCTCACTTGACTGGTGTCATGCCCTGCAAAAGGCACTGCTCATGGGGGGCTGACAACCTGCCTAATCACCCCAAGCAATCCACCTCTTCCTTAGTGTTGAGGGAGCCTGTTGGCTGTGAGGTCCCCATTCACCAATCATTACTCATTGGTGCTGGTTATGAAGGTGTCAAGAGTGCCTGAAGATCTTCACAATCTGGAAGTTGCATTATGGCTTACTTTTTAAAACTATGAAAGTATTGTTTTTCTTTTCCTGACTTGATGCTACCCAGGTTTTTATGCACATCAAGGCATCTAAAAGTGAAATTAATGCGTAGCTGTTTCCCAGCAAACGCTTTATGCATTCAGTTTTTCAAAGCAGGAACCTACTTGTGTGTACATGAAAGAAGTATGTGTGTGAAATCTGTATGTGCACCTACCCGGGTCACATGTTAGCTAAGCAAACTGAGAAAGTGTTCCCACCGCCGGGGAGCTGTGGGCCAGGCTGCAAATGAGCACGTTTCCCTTCCACAAATACAACTTTGGCGCAAGTGAATGCAGAAGTGGGTGCCAGGAAGCATGCAGGTTACTTGTGTTCACAGACCTGGGGCTAGTTCCTGCTACGGTTAAAATGGCTTTAAAACAGACAGGATCAAGCTCAAAACTCCAGAAACCTTTGCCTTGGTTTCAAGCAATTCTATGAAACTGAAACCAGCAAACTCTGAAAATAAAAGCTCATAACTACAGTGTTGACATTGTGTAGCAGAGTAGTGTTTTCCTGTCGTGGTGTCCTGCACTCGCTCTGCAGTGCACTTTCAGTACATTAGTTTCTTCACTTTTGCATTCCAAGTTACTTTGATCCCATCACTTTGCAGTTTCTTGAATTAGTTTTTTATCTCTTGCATACCAATCTCCCCCCACTCCCTAAACTAAGTCCAACATATTTGAAATGCCAAGATCAGAGATCTGCACTGCAGTTAGTTCTTGAACATATAATAAATAATGAGGAAAAAAGGT